GGGGGGGGGGGGAGAAGATAGGGAAGGGGGTAGTGCTGCAACAGGAGGGTATGAGATCGGATGTCCAAAGTAGAGGTGAGTAAAAGAGATGAGGGGGTTTGGGGGGTGGGGGGTCATTTGGTGACGCGTCGGGGTCAGCGGTGAGAATGGTGAAGTTTTTTTCTTGTGCTTTGCTGTCCACGTGAGATTGAAGTAAGTCATTGTAAGGTGAGATGTGGGGAGTGGGGAGTGAGGAGCATCCTGACGAGCAACTACAAAGTGGGGCTATTGGCAGCTGGGTCGGTGTCCGCAGTGGCATCCCTTTAGTTGATCAAACAAGCATGTCTGCCAATCAAAAATACAAACGCATAAGCTTTGTCAGTTTATCCGTAGAATTTTATCGCTGATTCTATGTGGTGTATACCAGTGGTGCCTTGATTGTAATATGCTTGCTGGTGACCTTTGAACCTGGGGCATCGTGTCACGTTACAATTGTTATAATTAAATTGTCAAAGTAAAAGAAAAGAACGAACATTTCTTTGTTACAATGTTATAATGTTGCGATGTTGCAATGTTACAACGTTACGATTTTACGATGTTACAATCTTGCGATGTTACGATGCTACAATGTTACTGTTCTGTAGAGCTTGTTTACACCACTTTCCTCGTGCGTGCACTCTAGTTGACCCCATATGAGACGCTACGTTCACAGATGGGCGTGGCTTATCTATTTGATACATCGTGTTTATAACCGACTTCCAATTAAACATGGTTAGTATGTCTAGTAGTATCTGGTCGAAGGTTCTCGATTGTATTAGAAAAGTAAGGGCGTTTCTAGACGCGTCGGTAGACCCACATATATAAGGGATTTTTAGCTTCACGAGACGTGTATTATTCTTTGTGTACTTATATGTGTTTATTCGCATTTCTTCATTCATCATTATTAATTGGCACATTGTACTAATTGTGTACCGGTAAAAGATTTTCCCATACTCTGTAAGTTGATGATTTGTAATTATATTTCTTTTGTTTTGTAATTACTTAAATAAATCTTATTAATTGTAATTGTTACTGTTTTGGGTGTCGTATTTTTGTTAATGTATTTCTCTATGGTATCGTCCTTTGTTAGCCACTGTTTGAACGAGCCATAAATGTAAAATAGGAGATTAGTTTCTCACAATAGAAGGCAGTGCGCAACAGTTACGATGTTACATTGTTACGATGTTATGATGTTACAGTGTTACCATGTTACAATGTTACGATGTCACAATGTTACGATGTTACAATAATACAATGTTACAGTGTTACGATGTTACGATGCTACAATGTTACAATGTTATGATGCTACGATTTTACGATGTTACGATGCTACAATGTTATGATGCTACAATTTTACGATGTTACGATGCTACAATGTTATGATGCGACAATTTTACGATGTTACGATGCTACGATGTTATGATGCGACAATTTTACGATGTTACGATGCTACAATGTTACAATGTTATGATGCGACAATTTTACGATGTTACGATGCTACAATGTTATGATGCTACAATTTTACGATGTTACGATGCTACAATGTTATGATGCTACAATTTTACGATGTTACGATGCTACAATGTTATGATGCTACAATTTTACGATGTTACGATGCTACAATGTTATGATGCGACAATTTTACGATGTTACGATGCTACAATGTTATGATGCTACAATTTTACGATGTTACGATGCTACAATGTTATGATGCTACAATTTTAAGATGTTACGATGCTACAATGTTATGATGCTACAATTTTACGATGTTACGATGCTACAAGGTTAACATTTTACGATGTTATAGTTTAGTTTTTTAAGTTTCGAAACGTAATGCGAAGTCTCCAACACGTAGCCTCAGATGTAGAAGATACTAACAAAGTACGTCATATTACAGTAAAACTCAACAGATTAGGGACATATAGTTTGAAAAAAAAATAACAAAATGACACCACAACACAATGAACGTGTCGGCGAAAAGCCTTCTTCAGTGACCAGCACAACGATGTTGAAATGAATTAAGACAAACGCAGACTTAGGCCACATTGTAGAATTTACTGCTGTCTTAGTCTGAGATCAGGGGAGAAGTTATTGTAGAATTTACAGCTGTCTTAGTCTGAGATCAGGGGAGAAGTTATTGTAGAATTTACTGCTGTCTTAGTCTGAGATCAGGGGAGAAGTTATTGTAAAAAACAAAAATTATTTTGTGAACGATTTGAAGAGTATGGTCAGCAATATACATGTATGGTCAGTAATATGCCTGTGTGGTCAGCAATATACCTGTATGGTCAGTAATATGCTGATGTGGTCAGCAATATACCTGTATGGTCAGCAATATACCTGTATGGTCAGCAATATACCTGTATGGTCAGCAATATACCTGTATTTTCAGTAATATAACATCATGATCAGCAATATAACCGTATGGTCAGCAATATACCTGTATGGTCAGCAATATACCTGTATGGTCAGCAATATACCTGTATGGTCAGAAATATACCTGTATGGTCAGCAATATAACCGTATGGTCAGCAATATGCCATTATGGTCAGTAAAATGCCATTATGGTCAAAATTAGGCCTGCATGGTCAGTAATATGCCTGTGTGGTCAGCAATATGCCTGTGTGGTCAGTAATATGCCTGTATGGTCAGCAATATGCATTGAGAATTACACAAGGCAGGCGAGAATATGATTTTTATCCCCCCCCCACCCATTCAACCCCCTCCCCTTGCAGACAAACCCTTGCCCGATTTAAT